TTTTTTTCGCCTACTTCGTTCTAATTTTGTTGTACTTCCCAATGGGAAGTGTCTCAATTCTGTGTGAATTGTTGATGTCAGCATATTTAAAGTTTATTCACTATCAGATAATTTGTTCTGTAGTAAAATGTTAGAGATGAAATGATGTCGGTGTAGACTTTTCATAAAAATCATTCGAATGTTGAATTGGCATGTAATCTGAATGGAGGACGTATTTGTTTAAGGTTTATTGTCCATATTTACTGATCAATAAGAAGCGATACGCGGGTTTATATTTCACTCGACCCGAGAAACACGATAAAATGGATTGTAAAGGATTGGAAACTGTGCGTAGAGACAATTGCCCTCTTGTTTCGAAACTGCTCTCGTCGTGTCTTGAGAAGATGTTGCTGGATGGTGATGCAACTGGAGCATTGGAATACGCGAAAAAGGTTTTTATTCGTTCATTTAATGAAATCCTTACTGTCATGTTATCACTGATATTATTGTCGTTTTTACTACGAAAAAATTCATGACAATTAGATGAAGGATGATTACAATGAATATTGAAACATTTTCACTGCGTTGTTTTAAATGAATGATTCTGTGGTTGTGAGTAGGCGATGTATTATGTTTTCAAGTGAAAGGTTGGTTATGTTTTCAAAGAAAAAGAATAAACGGAATGAAAAATAAATTTCTAATGTGAAAGTGACTGCATTAAGGTGATCTCGGATCTGTTGTGCAATCGTGTTGACATATCAGAATTGATCATCACCAAAGAACTTACTCGACCAAGCACCGTTCGTTATTACCTTTTATCAGAATTTCATTCAAATCTCATGTTTTTGTTGAAATAATTCTAGTATTATGAAGAAAATTGCGTTTTAAATTCAAATTAAGGCAATCTCACTGTTTATTTGAGTGCATACAAGTATGCTTGTTTAATACTGTCATCTGATTGGGACAATACTTGTAATGAACGAAGGAATCGATGAATGCCTTCTTCAGGCGTATCAAGCGAAACAAGCGCATGTTGTGTTGGCAGAACGAATGCGTTCCCGTGATGCGGGCTCAGCGCCACGTCTGGGTGATCGAGTTCCGTACGTGATTGTTGCGAAGGGGCATAAGGTAGTCATCGTTTTGCAGTATTTTTTGATGAATTCAATACGAATCGTTGATGTTCAATGTACCTTTGTATAATTTATTTGTTAAGAAGAGAGTGAAATTTGGCTTATGCGTATATTTTTATTTGTATAATATACTGTCTTGTTGAAGGTGCCGGCATATGAGAAAGCCGAAGACCCGATCTATGTGCTGGAAAACAATATCCCGATTGATACGACCTATTATTTGGAGAATCAACTCGCGAAACCGTTGGCGAGAATATTCGAGCCGATTCTCGGCGATAAAGCTGAATCAACACTTACCAGTAAGTTGTCTCTTTTGTTGGCTTCGCGTGAAATGTCTTCCGTCATGTATTCTAGAGAAAATCTCTTTGATTAGTTTCAGTCATTCGCGGTTTCGTTTTTCGTTCAGAAACCTCAGTTTAGACAAATTCGTCCAAACTTGTATAGTCCAAACTCGAACAATTTGTTCTGTATGGGATAGTTTTCGTTCGAATTTTTGCTTTATATTATATAGAATCCTCCTCTTCTTAATGAACTAATCACTCAGTCAATATCACTGAATCATATTCGACCAGTTGACTCGTATTCACCTTTAATGATAAAAGTTGGATTGATTCAGATGGAGAGCATACACTTGTGCGATCAGTAACGCAATCCAAAGTCTCAGCGTTGTCACAATTCTTCCAGAAAACCGAACGTTGCTTGCTCTGTAAGAGTAGTTTAAAGAAAGGTGTTCAAGATGCAACTTGCGAGCACTGTAAACCAAACGAAGGAAAAGCTTTCATCACTCACGTGAGTATTGTAAAAATATATCACTCAGCTGTGTCATATTTCGCTTACCTAGGTTATCATCCATCCCAAAATCACTCTCGAAATATATATCATTTGATTGCCGATTCATCGGTTTTCAGTTGGAATGAGTTTATTTGCAGTCAGATGTCACTCTTCAAACTTGATTCAAATATTTTGTTTACTTTATTTAGCGTCTCGAGTTTTATATATTTCGAATTTTATCTATGCGATATCTTTGGCAGAAATCATGTACACAATCATTTTTGCATCTGTTAATCGGATCAAGAAAATGGATGTTGATTTGATTGTTCAGATGTCTCTGATGAATGCCATGGAGAAACGTTTCGGTCGCTTGTGGACGGAATGTCAAAATTGTGCAGGCACGATGAATGAGGAAATCTTATGTTCATCGTCAGTTTTACTCCTCATTTTGGTCATCTTCATTGCCTTTTTCTCTTATGAATTTGCGGTCTGTTCGATAGAGCTTTTGATTCAATCGCATTGTTAGAATGGGATTGTTCTCATTCATATTGCTTACATAACATTATAATGCGATGCTGATACGAATGTGTTGCGCCTCATTGGCTCAGGGGCAGAGCGTCTGTCTAGTAAACAGAAGGTCGCTGGTTCGATTCCAGCATGAGGCAGTTCCCTTTTACCCGTGTGTTTAATTTTTGAACGTTTTGTTTTCACCAAGCTAATAATGTGTTATTCTAAAAAATGATGATTGCGTATTTAAGGCGTGATTGTCCCATTTATTACATGCGTGAGAAGATACGTATCGATTTGGAGGAGCAAAGGAAGGCTTTGAAACGTTTCAACCTGTCAACTTGGTGATTGATTCGTGATGGAATGCGGTACTTATCCGTTTTCTGATCGTGAGAATCGAATGATCTTTTCTGTTCTTGTTTATGAGTTCGTTTGTTCGCAAGATGTTTTATTTGGAATGGTGAATTGTATGGTGCTTTATGTATGTATGATTGATTACTTGAAGGCTGATATTTTTTTATTGTTGAATTTTTATTCATAATTAAACAACAATACGATCTCAGTACAAGTGCAATAATTGCTTAATGAAAAAAAGAAGTATGTAAAAATATTGCATTTCATTATTGACTGTTTTGCAGTCATTACTTAAAATTTGCAATTTCATTCTGCTTCACACCCATAGATTTGGCTAGCACGTCGCGTTGCTCGCTGATATGTGTGAATTTGTTTCCAGTTGCGGGAACGGCAGATGGTGGTCTGCCAACATATGTAACCTTTCGATCCGAACTGAAACAGAATTTGATTAGATGAGAGGAGGAAAATTGATCGTAGTGGCGTGTGCAATGAAAGAATATTTGACGTAGTTTGCAGAGAGTATGAAAATTTGCAATAAGCCGATGAAAACCTTTCGAGAAGAGTGTTCAGTTTCGGTCGCACAAACGTCCATGCCCCGGCGTTCTTGTGTTCTTCTTGAGTCCAAATCACTTGTGCGTTCTTGTATCGATGCAACTCTTTCACAACCAAATCGTACGGAAACGGACTGAGTTGTTCAATGCGATTGATCGCAATACTTGACTCCATTTTTAAATATTTTCGAACGGCTGTCAAATCGTAGTAAATTTTGCCTAAAGATCGATCACGAACGTTTCCATTTAACATACACCTACACACGACTTTAATATGTCCGATTCGACACACTTGAACTTCTTGATTACGTGATAAATGAAATTGTTTTATTGCGGGAGTGACCGATAACCTGAGCAAAAAATGAGACGATTGACATTATGAGGCGCTTGCGAGGCTGCTGAATCATCGGCTATCATACGCTTGAAACTTGTTGTCGGAAGAAAATCCGCCAGCGGAGATCTTACCAACGGATGACGGAGCAGTGATTTTGGTGCGAATTGCACAAGTGGTTTTCTGAAGTTGGTCACTCACACACAGCTGAATCAATATCGCAGATTAAGTGGAGCTTTTATATGTATCAATTCCGTACTGCATCATTTCAATTGCAGTTTCAGTGAATTAACAAAAATGATGTACAAAGATGCGGTAAGTCTTAGTCGGCTAACGGAAGAACATTGCTAACTGAATTCATCGTAGAATGTGCATCTATAATCAAAAGTCAATGATGTGATTGCACTGAAGAGCAATGAATGAGCAGCAGTGACCCACCTGAAGGGCATTAAAACTTGTCTTCGATAAGCATGAAAGAGATTCGCGGGTGTTGTACAGTTTGTCACTATCCAGTTGGTTGCAGCCAATTGTTCTGCGGCAAAATTATTACCGAATTGACCTTTCTGAAGTGAATCAAATGTTGCATCTCCTTCGTTGCACATCTGCAAGAAGCGTTCCACTCGTGCACTGCTATGTTCAGGACCCATACCCTCGTGACCGTGTGGCAACGATAGCACTAAGCCAGATTGACGGATCCATTTTGATTCACCTGAAAAATTCACTCAGATCAACATGCTTCTTATGATTCCATGACCATCAAATTAACAATCAGTTAGTCCATTGGTGAACTGAATCAAATATCATGAACCATAGCAAGATAATAAAAACAGTTTAGTGCAATCGTTTATGAATATGATATTGATCTGTTGTTTGATAATAATTATCACGATCAGGATATTACCAAAATCAGCTTAGAAGTATCCATATAGCAACACTGAAATGAATGAGCATTTTAACCTGAGCATATGATTTGATCAATAATACATTGTGCATTGTTTGCAAAATCACCAAATTGTGCCTCCCAAACTACCAACGAATTTGGATCGACCATTGAATAGCCGAATTCGAATCCCAGAATACCGTATTCGGATAACGACGAATTGCATACGGTGTATTCAGCTTGCTGCAAACTGGTATTGCATAGAGCAATTGCACTGTTCTTGAAGCTGTTCGCCCTTAACAATTATATATGTTCGAAACGCACCTCTCCAGACATACTGCTGAGTGCCACATAAGTTCTTCCATCGACTTTTTGGTCGTGCAGCACGTGGTGTCGATGTGAAAATGTACCACGTTCAACATCTTCTCCAGATAGGCGAACATGCGTTCCTTCAGTCAAACTTCATGATCACTGACAAACCTTTCATTTTGAGTCTTCTCGAAATTGATTTCAAACACCTCAGAGTAAGTTAGAACTTGAACATTCGACATGTGAAAAGTTCACTTCAACGTGAATTGAATGATCTGTCTACTTTTAGCTGTTCTACACTGCGTTGAATGTTTGGTTAAGGATTTGTCGAATTTTCAAGTGTTAGCTGATCGATTAAGAATTGCTAATTTCAGTGTTTCTATCAGATATTCCAAAACAAGAACAATGACTTCTGCAAAAATGTTTACCGTCAAGAAGTAGCGATCCGAACGCCAAAGCCTCTCCACACGCCCAGTCATAACTTTCCTCCTCGTGCATTTTTTGACGTCCTTTTATAATCTTCTCTAAACCCTTATGTAAATTGAATTCTTCAGGTACGGAGGCAAATTTACTCATGATGATATCAATTTTTCGCTTGGTCACTCCAGTGCTCGGTATATTAATCGGTTCATCACGTTTCATGAATTTACTCTGCTCAGGCCATGGTGAGTCTAGCCAATCGCGGTTTCGAAGGCGTTTCACTCGTTTCGCTTCTGCATATCCCTCTTCCAACAACTCATTGTAGCTCTCGACTTCTTCCTTCAATCAAAATACAGGATCAGTTGGATTGCTGAAAACCCAACACTAGAAAGAAGCGCCTAACTATCCTTATATTGCTGAGATTATCAGCTCTCCTTAAGTACTTCCCAACGTTATATGCACATGCTATCTATCAAATTGCTATAAGAGTAGGTAAATCAGAAACCTGAATAAAATGACTATCAAACGTTCCTTCATTGATTAATTGGTCATGATAAATTCGAAACACTGGTTGAATTTGTTTGATCCGTTGATACATAATTGGTTGCGTTAACATTGGCTCATCCAGTTCGTTATGACCGAAACGTCGGTAACATACCAAGTCGATGATGACATCCTTAATTCATTCACTCGTGAACAAGCAACCGATGTTGTTAAGAAGTAATAGTCTGAGATTAAAACGGTTCGCGAAACCTTTCTGAATTTCCTTCGCCAATCTGCAGCAACATTACAAACGTGCACCACTGCTTCAGGATCGTCACTGTTCACGTGGAATATTGGACATCCCAACAGACGACCAATATCCGTACAGTATGGCGACGAGCGTGATGCCCGAGGATCTGTCGTGAAGCCTATCTGAAGCATGATCACCAATAAAACATCACTTATCGACTTGCTGCAAATCTCACTGCCCTCTAGGAGTCGACTCTGATTGACACAAAAGCGACGTTCATCTGAATACGTTCATCACAAAAGACAAAATTATCAGAATCAAATATCAGAATCGCAGATGTTGCACATGCGCAATAGATGTCGTGATGATTGGAACGAAAAATGAGCATTTGTAGCAATTTGAATAGTCGATAATCTAGTGCAACCTGATTATTGACAACGATATGAATGCATCCTTTCACTGTGTACGCATTCAGATTGTTCAGATTGAACGTTTCCATCACAATACCTTCACCCGAAATAGCCGCATCTCCGTGCATTAATATTGCCAGTGTATGTTCAGCGTCTCCGTCTCGTCTGTACAATAACTCAGCACGTACTTTACCGAGTACCACTGGATCTACTGCTAGAACACCAACGAATCCGTTCATTCATTCAGCCAAGTTTTCGTTTTGATTCATTCCATCTCAGTCTTCCAAAATTCTCAATTCTCAAATTTACAAATGTGAGATGTGAACAGAAATAGTGGTGTATCGCTTGCGAAATAATGTCACTGGTCTCAGATATTTCATTCGAAAGTGTTCAATATTTGCTCAAAACATTCACTTAAATGGATACTTATTTGTAATCTCATTCGCTTTGAATGATAATTTACATTTCATGTGATCGAACGAACATTCATGATCAAGAATAATTGATCTAATGCGCGAATGTGTAAAAATCGTATTTTATCTGTTCATTAGAGCAATCACCCATTGGGTTCCATGTTCTCAATGGAGATTTCTCATAAAAGACACAGCCAGCAAACAAACAATGGAAATATTTCGAAGGAGCACAATAGAAGAACGAATAAGTGAAAAACAATTAAATTAACTTAACCTTCTAAGTGCGATGGATTTGCGACAACCGCAATTTTAACGTTACTATGCGACGCACGATTGAATCGATTAACGCATAAACCCAAATGGTATTTTACATCAGCTGTTCCCTCATCAGTTGGTTTTAGGGATGAGAATTGCGAGAAGATTATCGGGAACGGTTGGTGACACACATTCGCTAATACATTTAAACGACCTCTGCAAATGTGCAACTAATCATTTCACATCGAATTTCCAATGTTTTGCAAATAAACCTGAGAGCAGCTCAATCGTTTGTAGTTTGCAGATAATATGACAAATGAAAGACAACATAATACTCCGTCATTACTGTTCAAATCTCACAAAACACGCTGGTGAAGATGTTTAAGAGGATTTCAACCGTTAGATTTGTGATCAACTCGTCGATAAGATTTTGATCGGTCAATAGCAAAGTTTATTTCGATAAGGGCAAAGTTTATTGGTAAGTCAAAAAGTACCAGTACATCACAACGAATGAATCATTAGCATCTCACCTATGTGGCATACCAATAACGAAAGAATCGACACCAAACATGGCTGAGCGATCCATCAGCTGTTTAACTGCTGGAATCAGCACTTCGCATCCTTCCAAACCAAATCGCTTCTCACCCGGCCACTACAAACAAATTTTCCGATAGTTCTATCGTTTAAGTAGTCAACGGTTCAAAAATTTCGATATTATTGGTAATTTAAAAAGACTTCTGAAAATGATTATCGTTTAACATTATCAGTTCCCACCACATTATATGTAATCAGTTAGATTGGTCAAATGATTTTCTGATCACAATCACATTTTTAGCCCCCAATCACATAATCTTCGCATACTATGAAAAGTACTATGAAAATCATTGCTTAGATCACAATATCCTTTAGAATATAACAGCAAATCACTGCTTTATAGTAACATAAAACGATCACATTTGCACTGCTGATAATATGTATCTAAATTGTCGATTTTAGACGATCACTTGCTGATGGATCAGAGTTGACGATGCTCGAAAGCAAAGATTGAGATAAACGCCAAGTGAACCTTTTTGGCTAAGAATTCCTCGAAGAAAGTGGACTGAATGAGTCGTTTTAGAATAATTTCTTTCTGTTGCCGATCAAGCGTGATACTAAGAGGGGATTCGAAACGGCGTCGTATCCACTCCAATGCCTCATAATTAGTCAGATGCATATACTCAACGCCCGTATGTCCACAGTATGTCTTCTGAACACATCAATCAGCAAAATTAAACGATGCAGGATATTTAATGTCGGCTCATTTCATTCTCCTGACACTTAGAGACATCGCCAACAATAAATGAAAGCCAATAGTGACGAATAATGACAGTAACAGATCAAATATTATTATAATCTATTATTACTAATCGGTAAACTGAAATTGAGTGAACTCATTTGAGTTCACAAATGGAAACTGACAAAACACAGCGAATTGCTGAACCTCGAGTCGCGAAATAATTTCCCGGAGTTTCAACGTTTTTTCTTTTCCACCAATAAACGTATCCATAGGCAAAATGAATTGTCGATCTAAGTCCTGTTCGGTGAATCCATAGGATTTCATATCAGGTTTTGAGAAAAATTTCGAATCAAGATGTGGATGACTTACGCCCAGTGGATCAAGCGCAGCTAGTGTATGACCAATAACCTAAAAGAACAAAAAGTTAGGCAATATAAAGCTCATCTGAATTGTGAATGGTCGAATTAAAGCTATTTACGCATTGCTTCGCTCAATAAGCTTATCTTTTTGCTATTATCAAAAACAGCATATTATTCATTCTGCTAAGAAATACGCACAATTTGTCGATCGACATATAATGATCGGCACCTCGGATACAACTGCTTTATTAAGCGTATATCTTAAAGTTGGACGATCATTCAACCTAATACGTTTCATTCAAACTAATTCAACCTATACGCGTTTGTATGTTTCTCATAGAAAGGTAGACTTTTCTGGCAGCTACATAGATATGAGGAAAATCAGTTGCTGGATTTGCACTGTTGGTGAGAGAGCCAAAATTAGGCTCACTGAACACCTCTCTCATTTCAGGTTCTTTCAATTTCCAGCCTCTTCGTTCCGACTCACTATGTATGAAATAACGGCAAAGAGTACGATTGCAATTTTGAGAGCAAACGAAATTTTATTCGGGAATACCAGTTTTGAAACTGAGTTCATTTTGATTGGTAAAGTTCATATAGAGAAGGGCATGCACTACAGCCACTCAGCATCTGAAGGAAATCTCTTAGATTCGCTGATTGGAGAACAACATGCCTTAATGGCATGATTTTGCATCTTTTCATTGCCATCTTTCAAACTTTAGTTTGCTCGGTAAAACGCAATTTCCTCAGAAGATTCATAAGATTCACACAGTCGGATTCAGAAGATTCTCTGGCATCACAAAGGTATGCATGCTGTCGACCGACCATATTTGTAAACAAAGATATAGATGTATTTCCGAAGGTATATCATCTTGCTGAGTGATTTTATAATCCCACCATACTGTATACATTTGATCTCTACTCTAATTAATCAAAGCACTACTATGGGAACGTTAGGAGCATCACTTTAAGTCAATTACGTCGTGTGTAGCACACGATTGTTTCACATAATCGGATGTACTTTTAAGATCAGAGCTAAACTTTTCACGTGTTCCTTCGCCATGATGAAGGGGATACCGAACATAAACCATACGTGTAGGTGATATGGCTCTCCGGCTTTTAAGATCAACGATTTCTTAAGCAGCCAAGTCACGAAAATGCTTATTATCTCAGTTTTCAGAAATTTGTTTACTTTCTCGAATGAAAAATCGTCTTCGGAGAGCTATGTATCTTGATGTTCTCATTTTTGATCCAACTGTATGCATGAGATTATTCCGTTACGAATCTGCAATCGCTACCTGATAGCGTCGAATCAGATTTTGCACTTTCAAGTGATCGTTGATTTCTTTCGTTGCATTCACTTTTAAATGCGATTTAAATGTCCCTGTTTTGGATGGAAGATAAGTTGCTGTAGAAGAGGACGTTGAAGGAACTACTGGAGGCACGTTCACACATCCTCAAATTAATCATTTTGCATTGAGTGTGCATCGATAACAAAACCCTCTTGACACACTATAAAAATGAAACTGACAATGAAAAATATGTTTTAGAGTGTTTCTTAGAGACTCTGAATGCTAATCTCATTGATGTTGACGTGAAATGGTCAATTTCTTGGAAGGTAGCACTACCCTGGTGTGCACTGCGAAAGTATTTGTCCCATGATGAATGCACTGATGTTGGATCATTACACCACGCCTTATACATTTGTTGAGCGTAAACGCTCGACATCACATTTGTGTTCGCATTTTGCTGAATTTCAACGATCGCTTAGTAGATTATTGCATAATATGAAGCGAGTATGAACCTTTCATCACTGATTGAGTATCAATTCAACTAATGACTAGAAAAATTCCGATTTTTCAGCTAAAACCTTTGCAGAGGTTGTATTTTGACGATATTGATGAGTGAACCACACTCGCGAAAGCTGTCGTTCACTTGAAACGGATTTGGCAAAGCGATATTTCGCAAGGAACAAAGGCATCGCACTTGAAAGATTCAGTTCAGTGCGAAACGTTCTCTTCATTGTTTTCTGAAAAGACACTCACTGCCTTTGAAAACATCATACATGATAAGATGCTCAGTGATTCCCGAATCCTCAGTGTCTAAAAATGAATCACAAATGGATATGGTGTCTCTATAAAATGAATTTAGCACTTCAATCAACTCTGGACGTACACAGGAATATTCGTGAAAATGTGCCAAATGCACTGATTAGCTATAACATTTCAGTGNGGGAGGGAATAGCAATAACTGGGAAGAACCTTATTCATCGTTGTTGTTGTTGAACTTACAATAATATGTACTAAAGAGGCACCAAAACATTACACTAGGATTATGATGCTATTTTTGAATTTGCTCATATCCTATCACCACATATCACTGAACAAACACAGTTTCATGTAATGAAATTCTAGATGTTCAGTGTAAAGGAACCTAATATTCAAGCGCTCATACAGAGAGTATTAAATGAGAAGCAATTTATTTAAGTGATAATTCCGGTGAAACTAACAACATGTACCAACCAACCGCTAGCAATACTAGCAAAATTTAATAGTGAAGCATTCAAGGATCAACTTACTTATCGAAATAAGATTAGAGAAATCTACATTGATATCTACATCATTGAAATCTTCATATGATAATATCATAAAACTTCGAAAGGAAATACTCGAAAATTTTGATAATGTCGCGATTACTGAATCGCCGGAGGAAGCAAAGTGCTGATTCGTGAAACTTACAGAATACTACGAAGGTACCTAGCAAAATTGCTAATGGAAGAGGTTTACCGAACAAAAATGTGAAGAATTAATAGATGTCAAATCTTTAAGATGATCGAATAAAGAATAATGTTTCATTAGAATGAAATGAGGATGTAGATAAACATCCAAACGTGATTTGTAACATATCAAACTCAACAGATATAAGCAAACATTCTTACCGCAGTACGATAACAGATTCGAGTTGATCAAAATGAATTAATCGGGACAGACGAATCATTCTTTCCCATAATGTGCGTTTTGACTAATCTTCACTTGATCGCCATCATAATTTTGTTATCGTTATTGCTACCTTTATTATAATTTGTATTATTTCCAGTATGTTGTTATTATACCTTTGTTATGCTGTTATACCTTTGTTATGTTATACGTTCAGTATGTTGTTATTATATGCTGCCTCTCAGATATTATCGGTGCTGTTGGTATTATTGTAATTATTATTATCATATTATTAATATTATTACCATACAATATTAATATTATCAGTATCGTTATCATTAGTGTTTAACCCCGTCCAATCGAATGTATGCCTTCATGAATTTTCGGATTGATTATGCTACTATGTGGGTTTAATTACCCAGGTTTGGGAATGAAACGATTATACACAATAATCGTTACAAATAACTTCCTTAAAGAAATATGGAAAAACCTAAAAGAAAAGAATGCGGAAGTAAAAATGGAAATTACGAAACATGAACTCGGCGAAAGCATTATCCAGCTCAATCAGAGTTTATTCACCAGTGAGGGTCAACTCGGTGCGGTTGTATTACAGTTGTTTTCTTCTGATTGATTGGAAGATGTTCGAGTTACTTTCGGATGATGTGACCAGACGTATCTATCAGCATTTGAACGCACAGGAACGAGGTCGCTTCGCCTCTCTGAATCAATCACTACGAAGGCTTTTCAAGACGGTAATTCAGTTGAATCGATGACAAACATGTAATGTACTACCGAATACCACCGTCATTATCATTATTATTATTATAATCATCAACGTACCTTTTGTATCTAAAACTCGGATCCTCCCATCATTGCGGTATTCATTATGATCGATAAAATAAAGTGAATGAGATTAAATGAATGCCTATCATAAATGTCAGGATTATTGGGAATATTCGATGGAATTTCAGTGGGATGATGTGCAGTGCTGTTCGGTGCGTTCTGATGGACTGTCGTTGGCGGGTGAAAGTTATGTTTTTGAGGTGCAAAAGTTGAGCGAATGCCCAGTGTTGGTAAGACCTTTTCAATGGATCATTTATAATACATCAACATTTCTCAACCATTTTCAAACAATCGCCCATTCGGGCTGAAATCGTAGCCACGTCGACTCTTCTGCATTCCCTGTGCAGCAACACTTGACAGCTGAGAAGAAAACATTGCGATAATTTTAAGAAGTCTATTTGGGTTAGCCGAAATCACTTCCGCCTCTTTACAAGTGGTTTTCGCTCACTAGCAAGCAATATTGCCTGATTTCCGTTGAGAAATGCAGATTTACATGCCATTCAGAGAGTTCATCAAAATGCTCGACGTTAAACTTTCGCGAAATGCATAAATTAATTGTCCCCATTAATTTGATCGATCGACCACTCGTTCAGTTCGAGCAAGAGCACAGATTACAATTGACTCCAAAACTGAGCAATTTCTATAGAGTTCAGAGGACGAATGCCTTGAATAGAATGGGAAAAAGCCACACAAATCTTACGCAAGATTTTAAACTTAAAAGGTTTCTCAGTGTTTTGAGACATTTTATGAAGAATTAATAAACTCGACAGTATTTTAACTTCAGCATGAACCATTTGTGAGTTGCTTGAAAAGATGTCCTTGGATTCGCAAACTTGCCGTTCACGATGTACGTGTGCTTGCTGAAGCTGATATCAGCTTGATCGGATATCTTGGAAACTTAGACGAACTTCACATACCAAGCGATCTATTCGATAGGTATGTGAAGTTGCTGATCGTTGTTATTCCCTTCACATACTACAAAGACTCCGAAATTTTGCACGAAAATAGTTTTCGGCTTATTTGGGCGTTCTTCTACTCCCCTAAATCTTCCGATTAATTGGAATACTGCTTGATCTTGAGATGGGCATTGCTGATCTGTCAGCAAGAATTGGAACTTCAGTCGATTTGCATTAAAACAAGAAGTTGATCATAACGCACTTATAATTAAATATGGCGTTTACAGTGGGCACTTGGCTCAATTAAGCAGTCTCTCATGTGAATTCGATATATATTCGACCATAATTTGATTAAGGAATCAAAATTTTCGTCTTTTTGCAAAATTTGAAATTTCAGTCGAGTTCCAAGGAAACAGCTGATTGAGTCGTTGCTCTCGTTACCAAAATTACGAATACTTTGTGTTCAACAACGATATTGCGATGATAAATCACATTTGAATATATTCACCGCAGATCATGCAATTGCAATTAAATCCAAAAACGTGACACACATCAAACTACAGGTGCAAGAACGCTTTATGCTCACCATTGCTACTAGATTTTTCTGTTTCCACTATAAAACTGCAAATCACGAGTGTTTTTTCTGAAGAAATCTAATAATTTCGAAATTTTCGTCGTGAATTTCTACACTGCATTCGTTTTCAAGTATAATCGTTTATGTATTTTGTAGGCAGTGACAGTATCCTCGGATGCCCTCGAAATGCTCAGCGTGAAATATCCACAAACACTGCAAAAATTATGTCTTATTGGATCGTTGATGCATACACACGATATTAACGTTTATTTCAATGCGATTAGTAAGCTGACTTTAGTCGCATTATTAAGATCAACCAAAAGTCTTGAATAGCATTCATTCCAACCGTCTCATACAATCACAGTTCGTAGATTTGCCATCCAGGATGATCGATTCTTACAAATAGCATATCATGCAATAAATTATGAACGTTCCTATCGAATGTTCAAATTGATATGGAAGCACGATTGCCTCGAAAACCACTCTATTTGTCAGAAAATTGAATGCAGCTGTGGTATCACCTAAATCAAAGCTTGTGATGACGCCAAGGCAATCGTCAACCGGGAAAACATCAACTGAAGCTCAGTCATTGATTAAACTTGAGTCCGTGGAAGCTAAAGTTTTTGGAAAGATGCTTTTGGAAATAGTGTTTTCATCTCGCAAGTGATGACTACTTGAGTATGTTGTAGATCGATTCGATAATTTGTCAGCACTTACAATACCACCGTCACTTTACTCGATCAGTCCATCAAACGAAGCGTTCTTCGCAGCCAAATATCCATCTCTTCAAAATCTTCAAGCCCTTCAAACTCTGGCCGTATTCGTTTCGAGACCAGATGTAAACGAGCTGAAACGATTTGTTTACGCTGTCCTCCCAACAACACTACAAGATCTGATTTTATTCGATGCATCTTATCAGCTTGAACTGTCTGTAAAAGATGAACTAGGCAGTCATATGCCAAAGGTTAGCATATTTCATTTGACCATTGACAAAATTGACGCGAAGGGAGAATCGTGTCTCGGAAAAGAAGATGTACCGCATTTGACAACATAATTCATAAATTTCAGATTCATTTCCAAACGGACGAAGACATTATTGTTGACAGTTTCTGGATGAATGGGAAAAGTGAACTGATCACAAAAACAATTTGGAAGCCACCTTATAAATCCTACACAACACAGCTAATAAACGTATGTTATTTTGGTGAATGACATGAAAATGCGCATTGCGACGCCAATTCATACAGCCATAGAAGCGTAGTACACAAAACTTCAAAATGTCATTCTTTTAGTGCACTGAATTAAAATCAACATCATTACAAAGCCAGACTCTGAATCGCAACTAATAGCAATTGACTGATAAAGTGATTCTGAACAGGAAGATAGAAGATTGAGAAAAATGAATGAACATTCAGTAAAATGATTCAAAACCTCAGTTCACACCTAAGTGAATCAAGCTCAGCTAGAGCAGGCAGTGCTGCCCATCGTAAGAGATATTGCCCACTGGTTAACGAAAAAAACATGCACAAGAGAGTTGCTGCGGAACAGAATAAAACTCCGGAATTCACGCACTGTTCACCTCTCGGGTTGATAAATATTACTATGCCTGGAGAGAGGGAAAAGGACATTTCGATCTCGATCTCATTACAAGTGGGCATTGATCGGAAATCACTGTTCTCGAGTGGGAACTATAATAGATACAATATGACGCAGTAAATTGAGTAATCGACGCGGCTCTAGTAATACATTCATCTAGCATCTGCATGAATGCTTAACTGATTTACGTTCAGGAGCCAGAATGGTACTGTGTCGTAAGTGAGCTAATGAATACGGCTCGAAGTGTTGACAATGAACCTGATCAACCCGAAGTACAGCACCTTTCCGAGATCAATCTTCATCTCCGAGAAACTTCATCTTATTCGAGCAACGGTGGCGACGGTTTGAGCACAACTGCGAGCAGTACTGATGGTGATTCTATGACCAGCTCGACGACTTCGCAGGCGTAATATGGTATTAATTGATAAAATTAAAATATAGAAGTCGATCATTGTTGCGATATTTTATTGTTGAACTTTTTGAAATATGTATTGTTGTTGAGGTTGTAAGTGATGAACAGCGATACGATTGATAAATTGAGGTTTTATTGAATAAATTGAGATTTTCCATCGTCGGTGTGTGATTCTTTTGAAAATTACAACTCAAAAAAGTGCTTGGATTCATCGTATTGCTGACAAGATGGACATAGCTGGTGCACATAGCTAACGTGGCGTATTGAATCGCAAGAAATTA